CTGTCCAGCGTGTGGAAAGCATTCGACAAATTCGAGCCCGACGAGCGCTCTGTGCCAGTCGCCGAGGCTGCGGACCCACCGCTGCCGGGAAGCGCGGGCAGCCGCCCGCGAGCCCACGGGAGCCGCGGCGCCGATGTGGAGGGGCGTCGGCGACCTTCTAGCAGAGGCACCTCGCCGACGAGGCGCCCGAGGTTCTCCCGGACAGCTACCGGCTGAAGTCCGCCGTCCTTCCCTGCGCGGCGGCGAGAAAGGTTCTTGCGAAGCGCTCCAACGTGGCAGCTGGCGCGTGGCCCTGAGCGGCTAGGTTGGCGAGGGTTGACCCAAACGGGGGTCCAGCGACAAGGGGGTGGTGCAATAGATTTGGTGCAGTACATTTGGGGCGTGCAATACATTATGGGTCGCAAATGTACTGCTGGATTTTCGCGTGCCATACACTACTTGCAATACAATGCAATACAATTCTCCGGCGCAGTACGTTTGCAATACAATCGCCCCAAATCTAATGCACCACCTCCTTTCAGCTGAACCCCCCTTTTGGGTGTGCTTGAGAACGGTGGGCGAGGGTTCGGAGTTGGTCAACCGTTTCGTCTCGGGGAGCTTGGACGCGCGGCGCGTCTTCCACGTGCAGCGGTCGGGGGCCTGGGGGCCCAGCTGCAGCAGAGCCCCGAGAGAACGGATCTCGCGTTCGGCAGGCCTTGCGCCGACCTGCAAGGCCGCGGCGGCGTGGCCGGCAGGGAGGCCAGCGACGTCCATTCTTTGATCGGGGAAACGTATACTCGAGTAAGCCAGAACTCGGGTTCGCCGACGCTTTTTTTGATGACGGTCGGGTTTTCGTGGGATGTCTGCAGCGGGAGCTCGCGTCAAATTTCAGATTGGGTCTCGTCATTTTTATGATGGCCCCGTCTGGCCAATCCGAGTCCCCCGTACCCAAGTCTTACGTCTCCCCGATTTGAGGGCCTGACGGGTGTTTGCGGTACATCTTTTCGGCAGTCTCCGAGGTGTCAGCAGTTGGCGGCTCGCTCGTGACACGGCGGAGCGTCTCTTGGCGTATTGGGTGTCCGCCGCCAGCTCGAGGCAGCGTTGTGCCCGCTTGGATGGCCCTCGCGTTGGGCGCCTGTCCAGCACCTCGGCTCTCTCTGATAAGCCACCACTGGCACAGAGCCATCGTGTGAGCCTCGCTGGCGTCCTTGCTGCTTCGTCCGCCTCGCGCGCGCGGCTGGAGCGCGCGCGTGGGCAGCATGGCACGCTGCGTCCAGGCGGCCTCTGCCTTGGGGTGCGCGGCCAGAGCGGCAGCCCAGTCCGAGCCGCGCTTCGGCACGCAGTTCTTCGGCGCGCTGCGCCGCACCAGGGGCGCTCGCCGCCGAGGCGCGCGCCCAGAAAAAGCGGCTGCACGCAGAGCACCGTCCAGGGCGGAGCGTGTCCCGATGCAGTCGTGGGGTAGCGGAGTGGGCCCAAGATGCTCTCACTTGCCAGCGGTGTGTAGGGGAACGAAGAATGGCACAAACAAGTCAACTTGGAGGTCCGCGCGCATTTGTCGGATCCGCGCTGGACCCCCCTCCTTGGCGCGCGGAGCGCGCCACGGGCGGCGCCGGAGGTGCCGCCAGGGGGGCCCCAGCGCAGATCCGAGACATCCGCGCGGACCTCCGAGTTTTTATGTGTATGTCATTCTCCGTTTTCTGTAAGATGCTCTCTCTTGCCAGCAGGTCTGTCAGGAGGGAAAGAAACACGCAGACACAATTAAGCGTCGATCCCCCAGAAAATTTGGGAAAATATGGGAAGTGGGGGGGAAGACAGACACCCCCAAAAACATGGGAAAAGAGGGGGAATCTGTTTACTTGTGTGTATGCATTGGTGTGTCCCTGGGGCCTCTTCGGTCTGCTCCTGCGGGGAGGGGCCGCGCTGTGCGGTGGCCCGCCCCCGGCAGCCCTGCGGAGGCCCCGCGCGGGCAGCTCGGGACCGGGCCGCAGCGGCTCGGCCTGCGGGGCCTGCGGGCGTCGGGGCAGCCGCGCTGCTTCGGGGCGGGCGGGCGGGCGGGCGGCCGCCTCGGCCCGGCGGCCGCCTCGGCCTTCTTCCTCCCCCTCCTCCTCCCCCTCCTCCTCCTCCTCCTCCTCCTCCTCCTCCTCCTCCTCCTCCTCCTCCTCCTCTTCGTCCTCCTCCTCCTCCTCCTCTTCGTCCTCCTCCTCCTCGTCGGGGGCGGCAGAGACGGAGGTGTTGGCAGGCCTCCTGCCCTCTAGGCTTCCCAGATGGGGTCGGAGTAGATGGGGTCGGAGGATCGTGCCGCATCGCCGATACATCGACGATGCATCGGCGATGCGGCTCGATGTGGGGCCCTATTTTTTCCGCGCCGACGTCGTGGATGCACCGCCGACGTCGCCAGTGCATGGCCGATGCATCGGCGATGCATCGGCGATGTATCGGTAGCGAATTGGCCGTTTTCGGTTCGCGAGAGGGCGCCGCGGCCGTCGTTTTTGCGGGTCCAGGGCCGTCGGTTTCGGTCCTAGGCCGTTCTCACTGAAGGCTGTTTTGCTAAAGGGACGAAGAGGGGGGGTGATGATTACGGGGGGGTGGATCTCATGGCGGGGGCCATGCGATCTACCCAGATTTCATGGCGCCTCTTCTTGTTTCAATCCGTTCCCAGTCCCCTTCCCCTGGGCCGCGCACGTGCCGCGCCTGCCGTGATTTGCGCGCCCCCCTCTTGGACACCCCCTTCTTGGACGCCCCTGAGACTTCCGTGGCCCCCCCCTGCTGGCCTCATTTCGATTCCTCCGACTCGATTCGATTTCGATGTCTTCCGATTCCGCTTCGACTCGGCTCTGTTTTCCGATTTGGGCTCCGATTTCTCAACGGAGGCCTGCTAGCCTGCCCATTTCCGCCGAGTCGGCTTCTCCCGGCTCGGCTGCCGATCTCCGCCGATCCTGTGTATTTCGATCGCCGATCCGACTTAAAGATTCGATTCTGGGCCCTCGTGCCCCGGCTGGCTCGAAAGGCGAGTTCGCGACGCCCGCTTACACCAGTCGTTCGTCCTCGTCCGTCCTGTCGCGGCGAAGTCTCCGTCCCGAGGCGCGTGCGCGTGTGTCCGCCTCGACGAAGGCGCTGCAGACCTGCAGCTCTCGCCTCGCGGGGCCTGCCGTGACGGTGGGCGCCGCGCTGGCGGAACCCTGGTGGCCGATCACTGGGCAGTCCCCCAGAGGCACGGCGGGCAAAAGCCGCCCGAAAGATGGCAGGGCGGGCGTGGCGACTGGCCCTGACGAGCAGGGCCAACTCGCCCAGGTGAGCCCCCCGGGTGGTCGGGCAGAGCCGGGCCAGACTCGGGGCCGCGGTGGAGGTCCGCTGTCAGGATCTCGCGCAGGGGCCGCAACGCGTGGGAAGCATGCGCGCGGGCGGCCGCGCACGCCCTGGCAAGGCTCTGCTGGGCTGGGCTGCCGAGCAGCACAGCCCCGTTAGCGACGAGCAGGCAGGCGGCCGCAAAGAGCAGCTCCGGTGGCATCGCGGCGTGAGGCGTGGACTCGAGCGCGGAGCCTGCTAGAGCTGACCCAGCGATTGTCCAGGGGTATGGCTTCGACTCGTGTGCCCAGAGGGCCCTCTTTGGGCCATATTGGGCTCTCTCGGCGCTCTCTTCGGTCCTCCTGGGGCCATCTTGGCGTCCCTTGGGGCCATTTTGTAGAATCTTAGGGCCGTCGCTGGTCGTCTTACGGCCGTCCTCTCAGGGCGGTTTTGGGCCGTCGTGGGGCTGTTTCGGGGCCGTCGGGGAGGTTGGCTGGGGACATCTAGGGTCCTATCGGGGACATCTTGGCCCATGGTGGGGTTTCTTGGAGCCCAGTTGGACCCTCTCCGAGCCCATCTTGGCCCACAAGGGGCGAACACACGGAAATATCCCCAGATCAAGAGCCAAGGCGAGTATGACGGTTGTTGGCTCTCGGAGGCCCCTTGCAAAACCATCTTGGAGCCTTTGGTTGGTTCTTCAAGCCATCACGCCGCCATCTTGAGATCTCTTGGGTCCACCCTGGGGCAAGCCTTGTCAACTCTGCACCCTTTTGGGAGCCATCCTGAAGTGTCTTGAGCCTTGTCGGGCCTTTGTGCCAGGTACCCAGCGGCGTATTTGGATTCGGGGGCATCTTGGCCCACGGTGGGGTTTCTTGGAGCCCAGTTGGACCCTCTCCGAGCCCATCTTGGCCCACAAGGGGCGAACACACGGAAATATCCCAGATCAAGAGCCAAGGCGAGTATGACGGTTGTTGGCTCTCGGAGGCCCCTTGCAAAACCATCTTGGAGCCTTTGGTTGGCTCTTCAAGCCATCACGCCGCCAACTTGGGATTTCTTGGGCCCACCCTGGGGCAAGCCTTGTCAACTCTGCACCCTTTTGGGAGCTATCCTGAAGTGTCTTGAGCCTTGTCGGGCCTTTGTGCCAGGTACCCAGCGGCGTATTTGGACAGTTCTCACCACTCATGAGGTGAGTTGCCCCCCTCCCACCCCAGAGGGAGGAGGGGAGGAAGGACAATGGGGGTGACGGACAGCCAAACAGCTCACAAGCTTTGGTGCTCCTGGCAAGCAGGGGTCCGCCAGATTTTCAGATTAGTGTTGCTGCTGTCGCTGCTGCTGCTGCTGCTGCTGCTGCGGCTATCGTGGTACCTCAGGACGCCTCCACCGCAGACTTGTCGCAGGTGCTGCAGGACGTGAAGAAATTCGCCATTGATGCCATTTCCAAGGAGAGGGTCCAAGCTCGGGGCCGCTTCCACACTTGATCGTTCTATTTCTACTCGAGCAGCTCCGTCTTGAGGATACCACTGTCGATCGAGTGGTTCTCAGACACGGCACCTTGGGCTGGTGTGCCTCCTGTGCGTCTCGGTGTGGCCCGTACTCTATTCCCACGCCCCTACACACCATACCACCCCACCCGACCTTGAGGCTCCACGTCGCCGTCTATCCCCAGTGGGGGGACATTCCGGGACATTCCGGAGCAGCGAAAGACACAATGGAGCCCGTATGCCCCCAACCCGAGATTTTGGACTTCGGGTTGGGTGGGGTGGTCTGGTCGGTGGACACAGCGTGTAATTCTCAGTCAGTGGAGCGCGCCCGCTTCCGTAGCCATTTTGGCTCAAGGCCAGGGCTGTGGCCCAAGACATTTGAAGCATCTTAGTTGATACTGATCAGGCCCCCTGGGGGGAGCTCGACTCGGTGCTACAGGTGCCCCCGCTTGGCGGCGACGCGCTGACAAGCAGCAGGCCGGCGCAGGTCCCGCGGCTGCCCATCGGACAGGAGGACGGCAACCCCAGCAGCAACCCCGAGAGCAGCCCGATGCAGGAGGAGGAGCTGCCCGTGCTCAAGAGCATGCCGGGCAGGCGCCTCCGGAGGCGCTTCGACCGCGGCATGCCCGTGCAGGTGTACCTGGGAGCGGAGCAGGGCTTCCTCGCGGGCACGGTGGTGGAGCCCGCGAGCGGGCCAGAGCCCAGGGACATCATCCCGTCGCCGAGACCGAGGCGGATCCTGTCCCCAGAGGCCTCCCCCTCGATGTCGCCCTTGTGCTCCAGCGACGACGACGACGACGACCCGCACGGCGTCGACGTCCGCTCCAGCGCCGGTACCGCCGAGGTCGAGACTGCCGTCGTCCCACAGCGCCACGCGACGGCCACTGTTTCGATCCACGGCCGGAGCGGACCCGACCGCACCTACCCCGAGTACATGATCAGGCCGCTGATCGAGCGGCGCGGGGCGCGGTCCTGGAAGTTCGGGAGCATCATGAGCATGTCGCTCTTTTGACAGGGACGAGGGTCACGTCCTCGAGGACCTCGACGGACCTTGGGGGTTCTCGCCGCAGCCTTCGCCGAGAAGTGAGCCAGAGTCCGATCAATCGCTGTCATATTTTTGGGGGTTCTCGCCGCAGCCTTCGCCGAGAAGTGGGCCAGAGTCCGATCAACCGCTGTCGTATTTTTTTGGGTTCTCGCCGCAGCCTTCGCCGAGAAGTGAGCCAGAGTCCGATCCACAGTTGAGCGCCGGCCAGTTGAATGGAGGCGACGTTTAAAACACTGGAGGCGCCTACCAACTGGGCGCCGCCAGAGGAAGCCCCGAGATCCAGGCTCGCACCATTTTTCTCAGCGAGCGTAGCCCCTCTAAGACTGCCCGGATAGCCCCGCTCCAGAATCTTTTCGGTTACCAGTGCTGATCCTCTTCCCTTTCCTTGTCCTTTCTGATCGGAGCCCGCCAGTTTCCTGGCTGGGCCTCCTCTCACACTGTAGTGGTGGTGCAAGCGACCGACAAGGCAGCAGCAGCGAACCGGAATGCCCGGCGAGTAGCCTGACTGTCGAGTTCGCCTGTTTTTCTATCGTGGCACATCGACACGCCTGAACTAGGCATGCACTGTGAGTTCCCTTATTGTGCCTGGCCGTAGATGCCATGCTCTCAACTTGCCGTGAGCGAAACACTCCAGCTACTCGCTCGCCGATGCCCATAAAAAAAAGTGGAGCGCGCCCGCTGCACGATGCAACCATCTTGCTCCTAGCAGCATTCCTGTTGCCAGAACTCCGCTCCTGGGGACATATCTGAGTCGCAGGGTGCAACCCTCTCGATGACGTCGGCCTTCGTGTCAACATGTTGCCAGATATTCACTCCCGAGTATAATTCCGAGTCGCTGAATGCAGCCGTCTCGATCTCCTCGTCCTTCGCAGCGCCATAATCAGGATGCAATTTCTCAAGTCTGGCTGCCTTCGCCAGAGCTCTAAGTACGGCCAGGTGCGATTCTGAGTCATAGCATGGAGCGTTTTCGCTCCTGGCGGCCATATTGTGCTGCAAGAATTCAGCGCACAGGTACGATTCAGAGTCGGAAGATGCATTGCGTTCGCTGTGGGCGGCCTCCGTGTTGGCAAACTTGCATCGGTAAAGCTCTGCGTCGCACCATTCATTACCAGCCTCGAACTTATCCCTATCCCTAAGATTGGCACGCTAAAAGGCGATGACAATCTTAGGGATGCGCCCTCAAAAAGTAAGGGAATCCCTAAGATTGGCATCGTGATGAGGAGATGCCCAGCATAGGGATAGGGATATGTTCCAGGCTGGTAAACTCAACCCTCTGCATCCTGGTTGGCGTGGAGCTGCCAGAGCCTGATCCCAGGCGCGGTTCTGAGCCGCCGGACGTGAGCATCTCGCTCTTGCCGGCCTTCGCGCTGCCGGACCTCGTCCGAACGCCGAGGCCACCGCCAACCACGGCAGGCGGCCCGTCCCGCCGCATCCCTCGAGGGCCGTGGCACTCAGCCGGCAGAGCCCACCAGTCCCAGTCTTACGTCGGGCGTGTGCCTCTGCAGGAGGCATAATCGAAACCAATTGCCCTAGCCAGCCCAACCAGCCAACCCAACCAACCAGCCACCCAAACAACTCAACCGGCTCAACCCCCAACCAGCCACCCCGCAACCCCAGCCAACCCGCCACCCCGCCAACCCGCCCACCCCCGCCGCCTGCCCTCCGTCACCGTCGAGGGGGGGGGAAGTGTTTCTCACAAGCGAAAACCACAAAAATCACCCTCCCGGGGTCCGGCGGGACAGCGGGGGGAGGGGAAATCGCGCCGTACTATGCGGGAGCGGGATTCGTGCCCGAGGTGCCCAAGGACGATTTGGGGCCTCAAATGCGACACTGTCGTCACTTTATTACCTTTCACCGCGCTCCCCTTCTCAACGGAAAGGCTCCCATCCGTGAAACTGTCGTCATTTTTCAGCCCCCGCGAGAGGCTTCTTGGAGGCCCCCAGAGGCTCCAGGAGGGCCCATGGCGGCCTCGGGAGTGCCTAGGAGACCTCCGGAGGGCCCCAGGAGGACCCACTCTGCACCGCGCCCCCCTTCTCAACGGAAAGGCCCCCATGCGTGAAATTGTTTTCATCATTCCGCCCCCGCGAGAGAGTTCTTAGAGGGCCCACGGAGGCTCCAGGAGGGCCCATGGCGGCCCAGGGAGAGCCCACGAGATCTCAAGAGCCCCCCCGAGGACCCATTTTGAATTACACTCAGGGAGCTCCAGAGGGCCCAGGAGGCTCTAAGAGGCCCCAAGAGGCCCCGAAGACCCCAAACAGGCCACAGGACCCCCAGCACGCTCCAGGAGAGCCACGGCGACACCAAGAGGCTCCAGGACGGGCGTCATTCCCTCTCCTCCTCCTGCTCGTCGTCGTCATCCTTCTCCTCATCCGTCCTGCTTCAAGTCCTTCCTTCCCCTCTTCCTCCTCCTTCTCTTCCTCTTTCTCCTCTTCCTCCGCCTCCTCCTCTTCCTCCTCCTCCTCCTCCTCCTCCTCCTCCTCCTCCTACCTCATCCGTAGCCTCGATGGCTCCGATAGCGCCGTGCGCGAGATCCGCCTCCTCCCCATCCGTCCTCTTCCCTCCTCCCTCCTCTTTCCCTCCTCCCTCCTCCCTCCTCTCTCGGGAGCGTCACAAAGAGGCCTTCCGAGGATAATTTCACGACAACAAGGGCGCCGACCCGATGAACAGACACCACGTCGGGGCTCTGGGAACGGAATCGAAAACGAAACCTCGAATAACTTAGTCTTCGATGTTCGGGGCATTTTTCTGACCACCTGCGAGCCTGGTGGAAACTTCCGAGAGCCTCAGGGGTGGACGTCTGGCGCAAGAACACGAGTGGAGGAGGAGACAACACGACGCTTGGTTTCTACCCCCGCGAGGGGCGTTACAGGGTATTCACAGGTAGTCAAAACATGGTAGGGGAATTCTATTTTGGGTCATTTGTGGTTCGGTTCATTTTTGAGCATGTTTGGGGGTATTTTCAGAACTTCCGTCCAACATTCGCCTGTAGGGGGACACGCCCGACCTAATCCCAGCCCCAGCCCACAGCCCGAGCCAGCCCCGAGCCAAACCAGCCCAGATGGTCCAGCTAGCCCAGCAAATCCAGCTGGCCCAGCCAGACCAGTCGGCCCCCGTAGGGAGCTCCTCCAGCGGCCGCGGGCGCGTATGCAGCCTCGCGCCCATTTCGGCGCACCCATCGCACGCTTCGTGTCCTCGTGGGGGGCCCCACTGACGGCCCCACTGGGTGTGCGCGCGTGCCCCCCCCCCGCACATTTTGGCACACCCCTCATGTTTCCTTCCTTGACATGGGGAGTTCCACCTGCGGCCCCACTTGGCTGGCCGAGTGCCCTTTTGGCACACTCCTCACACGTTCCTGGTTCTGGCCCCCGTGGCTTCGTCCGCATGCCGCCCGCCCAGGCATTTCGGCGCACCCTTCACCCAGGGAGCTCCACCTGCGGCACCAGTAGGTGTCCACACATGCCGCCCCCGCTCATGTCAAACCCACCTGTCACACGTTTCGTTCCCCACAGGGATCTCTGCCTGCGGCCCCTGTGAGTGCCTCCGCATGTCGCCCCGCGCCCGTTTCGGCGCACCCCTCACGCGTTTCGTGCTCCACAGGGAGCCCCTCCCGAGGCCCAAGTGGGTGCTTCCGCATGGCGCCCCTCTCATTTCGGCACGCCACACACGGATCGTGCCTACTCCGGGCTTCCTCTTGCCAGTCCATTGGGCGTGCTCGTATGCGCCCCCCTGCTCTTTACGGTACGCGGGTCGTGCCGTATGGGGAGCTCAGCTTACGGCGGCAGTGCCCGCCCGCCACCTCGCCCATTTCGGCATACTCTTCTGTGGATCGTGCCCCAGATGTGGGCTCTATTTTCGACCCCGCTGAGAATCCTCGCGTGTGGTCCCCAGCTCAGTTCGGCACACCTGTCAAAAGGATGTTACCTTATAGGGAGCCCAGCGCACTTCTGCGCGCTTGTTCCGCAGCCCCTTGTCTGCACCATCATGAACTCTATCCCCCCCGCGGCGCGCAGTGAGTGCCTGCGCTACACGCAGCTGCATAGGGTTGGGCCCTTCGCCAGGCGAACCCCTTGCCCATGTTTTGAATATGCAGCGCCTTCGCGTTTCACCTCCCATCTCCCACCTCTTCCTCCCTCCACTCCTTCTTCTCACAGTTCTCTTCCAGCCCTCGGTCCGCATGCCGCCCCCCGCCTATCTGCACCTGCGGCCCCAGACAGGGCCAGCCTGCCGCCCTCCCGCTCATACACTCCTCACAAGTTTCGTGCCCCGCAGGAAGCTCCACCCTTGGCCCGCGAGACACGTTCCGCATGCTGCCCCTCCGCTCATTCCAGCACAGCCCTCACGGATCGTGCCCCGCAGAGAGCTCCACCTGCGGCCCATGTGAGAAGGTTCCCATGCCGCTCCCCTGCCCATTCCCGAACCCCCCTCGCAAGGATCGTGCCCCACGGGGAGCTCCGCGTACGGCTCGGAAGACAGGGCCGTCATGCCGCGTCCTGCCCCTTTCGGCACGTCCCGCGCACATGTGCCCCACAGTGAGCTCCGCTTCCAGTGGGCAAGTTCGACCCGCCGCGCATCTTGGCGCACCCCGCGCACATGTGCCCCACAGGGAGCCCCACTTCCAGCGGGCAAGTTCGGCCCACCGCTCACATTGGCGCACCCCCTCGCGCGGATCGTGCCCCACAGGGAACTCCGCCTACGCCTTTAGTGGGCGTGTTCGCGCTGGGGGGGTCCGCCAATTTTTGACACTCCATCTCGCGGATCGTGCCCCGAGGGGGACTCGTCAGGCCTCTGCGCGCTTGCTCCTCAGGCAGCACACGAAGGGAGTGGCACGCCCTGCGCTACAAGCAGCTTTCTAGGGTTGGTCCTTGTGCCAGCCGTTTCTTCGAATGTTAGCTGCCGTGGATCCCAGTTAGTGCGTTGTTGCTCCCTGGAGGTGGACACGATGCGGCGTAATACATGTGGTGAAGGTCATGTCGTTCAAGTTAGGTGAAATCTATGCGGTGTAGGCTGTGGCGTAAGTTATGCCGTGTAAACTAGGCGGTGACGAGGCGGTGACGAGGCGGTAGCGAGGCGGCAACGGGCAGCAACGTGACAAATTCTCGGCACACCCTTGAAGCGCACGAGGCGGCAACGGCGCGGCAACGATGCGGTAACGAGGCGGCAGCGGGCGGCAACGTGGCGAATCTTCGGTCCTGGGCATACCCCCCACAGGCGGCAACGGTCGGCACCGGGCGGCAACGTGGCGAATCCTCGGCATACCCACACAGCGCATGAGGCGGCAACGACGCGGCAGCGAGGCGGCATCGTGTGTCAACGTCGCGAATCATCGGCGTACCCCCACAGGCGGCAACAGGCGGCCACGTGGCGAATGCTCCGCAGAGCCTCGCAGGCAGCAACTGGCGGCAACGGGCTTCAACGTGACGAATCCTCGGCATACCCATGCAGCGCACGAGGCGGCAAGGGCGCGGCAACGGTTCGGCAACGGCCGGCAACGCGCAGCAACGTGGCGAATCTTCGGCATGCCCCGCAGACGGCAACGGGCGGAAACGTGGCGAATCTTCGGCATCCCCCCACAGAAAGCACCGGGCGGCAACGCTGCAATGCGGCGAATCCTCCGCATACCCATCCAATTCCGTGTGGTCCAGGGGAGACCATC